TACTCCAATCTCCATATCTCAATATATAATAGAAATCTTAGCCATCTTAGAGGAAAAAAAANAAAGAATAGAATCTCAAAACATGAAGTTCTCTACATTAGCATGCATCGCATTCGTGGTCGTAGTTGTATCGTCTCTGGCTCCGACCAAAGCATCCTTGGTTAGTGGTTCGGAGAAAGTAACATGCGTCGTGACGGAACTGACACCATGTCTGACAGCGATACTATTCGGAGGTCAACCGTCGACGGAATGTTGTGGAAAACTAAAAGAACAAAAGTCGTGTTTGTGTGAGTACATCAAAAACCCAATGTATGTTCAGTATGTATCATCCGAAAATGCTCACAAAGTCTTGGCGGCTTGTGGTGTACCTTATCCTACTTGTCCATGAAGGCTTAAATATTGGGACATAAAATCATTATAGTAGTGAAAGTTATTTATATGGTATGTAATAATTAATGTTGATCAATTTAAGCTTATTATATGACTAAATTAAAGATCCGCATTTATGTGGGCTTGTAATATAATGTTTTACTAGGTCAGTACCCGCGCCTTGCGCGGTACAATGTTATATTCACATCATATTATATGAAACAAATATTAAACGAACAATAACAATACAAATGATATTATATGAAATATATTTAGAACATTCAAAACCAATATTATTCATAAGTTCGATCTATTTGAAACAAATACTACAAAAACTCAAAATCTCAAAAGTCACAAACTTGTATTTAGTAATTAACTAAGGTATATAATTGAGATTTAAGAAATTAGGAGATCATAATTATTATCAATTAGATTTCTACATTCAACATACAAGTGCAATATATTAAAAAATGTTATGATATTGTTATCCACAATAAGTTATGAAAAAAATAAACCTGAGTATTTACTCTTGTCATTGCAAAAACAATCAATAACATATTCGAGATATGGATCTATTGCTTTTAAATAGGTATTTTCGAATTCTAAATCAAAAACTAAAATCAAAAAATAAAGTAAACACATGCCTAATGCCCTTTCGTAGTGATATAATTATTCATGTTTTTGTGAGCGTTTTAGGTTATCTAAACGATATTAAAAAACTTAAGAACATGATGCCGCTTGCACCATATTAAAGTTAACTTCACTTCTTCAGAGCCAAGCGTCACAACCTGCATCTCTAGCTCCCCATGATCATCTCCTACACGAACCGCATCCTCGAGATTCACTCCTAAAAATTCACAAGCTTTCAAGAAGATGATCGAGTTTGGTTTCTCCGCTTCAACCTGCCAAACAATCAGCCATAATCATTTTAATACACATTCACTCCCAAAACGTTTCAGATCATCAACCAAAATATATAAAAGATATGTTACTTTGGCTGAAACAACCACAACATCAAACCAGTCATCACATCTCAGTGCTCGTAGGAGGGGTCTTAATCGAGTGTCGAAGTTGGACACAATGGCAAATTTTACACTTTTTTCTTTAATAGATTTGAACACTTTCTCTGCCTCTCTGGATCACATGGCTTCCACGCCTCGTGAAGCAAATGGATAACATATCAAGAGAAAGAAACAAACTTCAAAAGACATTTCTTAAGCGTATGGAGAAATATTAACATGTTCTGTAGTAAAATAGTTATAAATCTCTTCAAAATACTGAGAATCCGAACAGCCTGTTGATGCGGTCACTACACATTGCTAGAAAGGTCTTGCATCGTTTTCATATATGCAAACATAGGAGTAAAAGTTATGACCATCATACCAGATTATTGCTCACAAGTAACTCCTCTTAAGCATAGAGACATTCATGAATCCCTTAGAGATTAATTCCAGCACAAATTTATCTGCGAGACTAAGTTTTGTAAACTAAACTTTTTTAATAGAGATGAATCAATAGAGCCTTAATCATGATGTACTAAACATAATGCAATCTAAGTGAAATCTAGACTTTACTTGATAAGCTCTTCTGTATCATCTAGACTTTACTTGATACATATAATAAAGCAATAAATATAAAAAAAGCAATACCATTTTATAAACAATTAAAAGAAAGAATGGCTCATAAAGCATCAGAAGGAATTCAGTAATATTTTTAGCAAATTAAAAAGGTTTTAAACATTAATATGTGAGGCTAAACCCTCATAAATGTATGCAAAATGTTTAAAACATTTTTTTTAGCAAATTAAGAAGAGCAAACCCTAATAAGAGAGCCTTAACTCTAGGGGAGACCTAACCCTCAAACACTGAATAAAACTACGGTTCAATTCATTTTGGCTTGAGAAGAATTTAGTTTGTATGTAACATTGTAAAAAAAAAAGTTTAATTCAATTTTTTTTTGTTTAAAATTACTACAGTTTGGCAATTCATTGCGATTATTACATATTTTTCTCTCCATCTCGTAGTGTAGATGATAAATGTATGCCACAAGTTACAATTACAACAACTTAACATATTTAAAATAAAGAGAGTTTGAAACTTTTGTGAATCTATGGTTTCTTAATCTACCAATGACGCCGGCCAAAAAAAAAACAGAGAAAAAAATCTACCAATGACAAATTGGTAAAGAAAATTTTCACGTAATTTTATTTGCTTTTAATTAAGGGGCAATTACAAAAATACCATTTTTTGTGTGCACATTTGCAATAATGCCACTTAGAAGTGTCCATTTACAAAATACCACTAATTATAGATATATAAAACCTATATCTTAAAATTTTAAACCCTAAAAAATGTTTTGACCCCTAAAAATTCCTAAATCCTGATAACTAAACCCTAATAGAACATAATTAACCCAAATATAAATAATATAAAGAAAAAATAATTTTGAAAAAGTGGCATTTTTATAAAGATTTTAAAAGTGTGGCATTTTTGTAACGTGGCACTTGGAAAGTGGCATTTTTTGATATTTTTCTTTAATTAAAATTTATTTATCCCCGCGCAAGACACACCCATAAAAAAATCTAAAATTTTAGGTTTCAAAAATTAATAAGAAACATGTATGTTTTTTTTTTTTTTGGAAACTTAACACACATACGTTTTTTTTTTAAACTTAACACACACGTTGAAAACAAAACAAAAGTAAATCTAGATTTAAACCTAAATTTGATGACCACATATAGGTTTGATTACTGGAACTTAATACTTGATTTTATTTAATATTGTTGTTACTTTTGCTTTATCTTTATATATTAAGAGAAACATCGGAAGAATCATTTAGATTTAAAATATTTATGATATGAACAAAAAACATAAGTCATAGTCATAGTTAAAGGATTGAACTGACTAAAACC